GAAGGTGGCTCAGTGGTAGAGCGCTTGCCTTGCATGCCTGAGGCCCTGGGTTCGATTCCTCAGCACCACATAAGCAAAAAGAAAAAAGCCGGAGGTGGCGCTGTGGCTTAAGTGGTAGAGCGCTCGCCTTGAGCTGAAGAGCTGAGGGACAGCGCCCAGGCCCAGAGTTCAGGCCCCATGACCAGACCCCAAAAAAAAAAAATACCTCTCCCTAGCCAGGCACTAGTGATTCATTCCTGTAATCCTAGCTAATCAGGAGGCTGAGATCTGAGGATCGTGGTTCAAAGCCAGCCAGCCCGGGCAGGAAAGTCCGTGAGACTCTTCTCTCCAATGAGCCACCAGAAAACCGGAAGTGGTGCAGTGCCTCAAGCGGTAAAGAGCTCCCCTTGATCTGAAGAGTTGAGGGACAGCGCCCAAGCCCAGAGTTCAAGCCCTAGAACCAACCAAAAAAAATCAACCTCTCCCTAAACAAATTAGGTAGTCTATGATCTCCATGTTTAAGCTGTACTTTATTATTATTTATGTATATGCCAGTAACGGGCCTTGAACTCAGGCCTTGTGCTCTCTGCTGGCTTTTTCCACTCAGGATTGGCACTGTCCTACTTGAGCCACAGCTGCATTCCTGGCTTCTTGGAGGTTAACTGGAGCTAAGAGTCTCACGGACTTTCCTGCTGGGGCTGAGTTTGGACCATGGTCCTGAGGTCTCAGCCTCTTGAGGAGCTGGGAGAACAGCTGTTTGCCATGAGTGTCCAGATGCCATACAGCTCCTAACCTGCTTTTTACGCTGTCATGACTGTCCTTCCACTCCGTCAACACAGTCCACAGCACGTCCCCACACCCGAGCCCATGCCTCCACTCGTGGACAGTGGGCTTGTACGATTGCTTGCTGGTGGAATCAGCACATTTGTGAATTCCTTTGGCTCTGTTTCCACAAGTGGAAGGGATGGATGAAGGGGCGTGCTCCCATTGAACGTGTACTATTAGTCTAGCTAGCAAGTACAAGGTTCAGCTGAGATCTAGCCACCAAGACCATAGACCAATAAAATAAGCTGAAGGCTGAAGCTGAAACTGCTCACGTGTAGCTCCAGGGATGGCACAAACCAGCACCCAGGGCAGACAGTGCCCTGGGTCAACGTCCACCAGCAATGGAATGAGCTTGCCCCAAACATACAGCATTCCAGCTGCAGCACACAGAGTCCTTGCAGGCAAGAATCAAAAGCTGAGAAGCCAATTCCCACAATTCCTGAAGTTATGAAGTTCCTAGCACTCAAAAGGTTCCTTCTCATGTATCTATGAAAAGAGTGAAAAATCCATCCCAGGATCTCCAGGTACCTATCAGTGAATTCAATAACTGCCATTGCTAATCACTCCTAAAAATTAGTTCTGTAATATGTTAAGTTTGTGTAGAATATATATGGCTTGGCATCTGATTTTTTTTTTCAATATGGCCAGGTCCTGGTGGCTCATGCCTGTAATCCTAGCTACTCAGGAAGGCTGAGATCTAAGGATTGCAGTTCAAAACCAGTCTGGGAAGGAAGCTAGCCTGAGAAGGAAAGCCCATGAGACTTTTATCTCAAATTATATTAACTGCCCTTTCCCCCCCCCAGCCAAAAAAATAAAGGAAGCAGAGATGTGGCTCTAGAGCCACTGACCTTGAGCACAAAAAGCTCAGTCCCTGAGCACTGTCCCAGTGACTAAGCACTCAGTCCAAGCCCTAGAACTGGCACACATACACACACAAAAAGAATGAAAGAAAGCAAAAGCAACCCCAGGATTCCTTAAGATAAGTAATAGACAAATATACTGTTTCTGTCACGTGCAGATTACTGAATCAATGAACCCACCAAGAAAGAATTTGGAAAGGAGAAGCTTATTGAATGAACCATTAGAAGACTCAGCAAAATCATATAATCACTCAGCTATTAACCAAAAAGATCAGGAAAGCTCTGAACCAGCAGGTGATAATACTAAGAGAGTAGCTCCTGGAGGGTATAGGGTGATACTATTTATGTTTTAGGGAAGCTTTCCTGTGTCTGCCTTAGACCTGCTTCAGACAGTGATTCTCCTGCCCACAGCCTCCTGTGTATACAGTAAAACACTCTAGTCAGATAATGGCATAGTAAAATACACTACCGGGTGTGTATTTCGTGCTAATGTAGAGGATGCATATTTGCTTCCTTGACAGCCTGGATTGAGGCTAATCTGCAACTGAATTTCAGGTATTTTGTAACTTCATAACTGTGACATTAACCCGTAATACAGCTTTGATTCGGTGTGGCCTGACACCTGGCTGTCACCAGATGGACCCAGCAAAGGGCTTTCCCCTATGTGATGGTTCAGGCAGGTGAGAATGAGGTCATCTTGCACCCTCTGCTGGCCATACTGGGGCTCAGCGGTGGCTGGGAAAGGCGACTGCTCCCAGCTGGAGAAGCAAACCCCTCAGGCATGGTGGTGTTTCATTGTTGTTTTGCTTTCTTTTGTTTTGGTCAGTCGTGAGGCTTGAACTCTGGGCCTGGGCACTGTCCCTCAGCTCAAAGCTAGCGCTTGACTGCTTGAGCCACAGCGACAATTCTGGCTTTTTCTGCATATGTGGTGCTGAGGAATCGAACCCAGGGCCTCATGCATATGAGGCAAGCACTCTACTATGGAGCCACTTTGCAGTCTAGGACTGGTGGTTTTGAACCTGCTGCTGGAGGTCAGGACAGTAGGCCCTGGCAGAGCAGCCCAACACACCTGGGCAGCCCCGGTCCCTCTCTCCTGAGCTCTGGATGTGGGGCCCAATTTGGGGCAGACATCTGTTACATTTGGATTTAAGATGTTACCGAGTCTGCGTGCTAGCTTGGCAGCTAGCTGATGGGTTTCTGGAAGTGGTTGGACCAGTAAGGCTGTGATCACACCAATGGATTAATCCAATACTAGGCTCATCCTATGATAGATTGCTAGCCGTTAACAGAAATTTAGGAGGTGGACACTGGGAAGATGGAGGTTCAACACTAGCCTGTGGAAAAGATCACCAAGACTCTACTGCAATGAAACAGCCAAGTGCACACGAGGGTCCCAGCTACTCCTGAGGCTTAGGCAGGAGAACCACTATCTGAAGCGGGTCCTAGGCAAAGACAGGGCCTACCTGAAAACTAAAGCAAAGCAGGGCTGAGTAGACTCAAGTGATAGAGCACCCGCTTGGCAAGACTGAGCTCTGAGTTCAAAAGCCAGCACCACCACAACCAACCAACCAACCAACCAAGACCAAAAATTAATTAATTAATTAAGGAGATGGAGTGGGCATGCTAGCACATGACTGTAATTGTGGTCTTGGCAGGCTGAGGCAGGGGAGGGGAGGAGAGTCCTAGCGGAAGCCTGGACCGTGAGGACTGGACCATGTCCCCAGCCCCAGCCTCGCACCCTCTCCCAGGCACTGTGAGGTGGGCAGCATTGCTTGGCCACATGCTTCCATGGACGCCCGGGCCTCTCCTCAGGCCCAGGGGACTGGGACCATCAGCCAAATAACTCCTTCCTCCTCATGTTGATTTTTTTTTGGGGGGGGGATTCGGTTGTGGGGCCTGAACTCTGGGCCTGGGCGCTGTCCCTCAGTTCTTCAGCTCAAGGCTAGCGCTCTACCACTTGAGCCACAGCACCACTTCTGGCTTTTTTTTCTGCTTATGTGGTGCTGAGGAATTGAACCCAGGGCCTCATGCATGCAAGGCAAGCACTCTACCACTGAGCCACCTCCCCCGCCCCCTTATGTTGATTTTTTTTTTTTTTGGTATTTTGTTATAAAACACCACCTAACTCAGGCACCTTGGCTGCTCTTGTGTAACCAATGGTGCTGGCAAAAGGCGCTCAGCCCCTCCCTCCCCTCCCTCTCTTTGTCCCTCCATTCTGGTCCCTTCCTGACTCATTTTGCTTCACTCCCGTGTCTCAATTAGCGCACTTTGGATGCACCCAGGGTCACATGACCCCTCCTCCCACATGCAGACAAGAAAAGCTAGAGAAAACATGATGGCCAACCTAGGCCATACTCACGTCTGCTTTCTTCATTTAGTGCCAACTGGATCATATGTCACTGTCTGACCGGCCAAACCAACCCCAAGCTTCTCTGTCTTTTGCTGATCTCACCATGGATCTCCAGAGGGACCGTGCCAGAAGCAGCTCCCAAAGGAGCGGAGCTGTGCAGTGAGCTGGAGTCACTATGGAGGAGACCAAGATGGATGAAAGGTGGTTGCTGGCTCAGAGCAGGCTTGGAGTCCTGCGGCTCAGGGATCACTCACGCAGCCTCAGCAGCTCATAAACACCAGCTGTGAATGGTGCGCCTTCCCATGCCCTGGCAGCTTGAGTGGCACTGCAGAAGGCAAAGTAAGGTGGCTTAAGAAAGAAGTCATTCAATCCAAATGCTCGGCACTCACCTGTAACTCTAGCTGCTCAGGAGGCTGAGATCTGAGAAACGTGATTGGAAGCAACCTGGGCAAGAAAGTCCCAGTGAGACTCCAAGGAACCACTCAAAAACTGGAATGGTGTTGTGGCTCAAAGTGGTAGAGCACTAGCCTTGAGCACAAAGAGCTAAAGGACAGTATCCAGGCCCTGAGTTCAAGCCCCACCACCAGAAAGAAGAAAAGAAGGAGAAAGGAAGAAAGAAAGCACTCATTTACTCTTGTAAGGAAGATTAATCTTATTTATTCTTGAGTGCAAACATCTCCCACCTGTAAGGAGACAGAACAACACGAGAAGAAATCCTCTGCCCCACAAGGAGTGAGATAAGCAAGTGTGCAGAGGAGTCCAGGCCCCGAGAAGGAAGGAGCACGCAGCTGGAACAGCTCCGTCTAGCACTCTGTCTGCAGGCCAGCCTTGTGTGGTCAAATGGGGTCAAGGCTGTGCTTCCTGAGGCATGCTCCTGCTCGCCTCCACGGGGTCCGAGCGCTTACAGGATAGAACGCTGACTCTCAGCCCACCCCTGGCTCTGCTCGATAGAACAAACTGAGGGAGAGAAAGGAAGACAGAGGCCGGCTTTAGCTGGGCACTGGTGGCTCACACCTGTAATCCTAGCTACTCAGGAGGCTGAGATCTGAGGATTGCAGTTCAAAGGCAGCTTGAGCAGAAAAATCTGTGAGACTCTTATCTCCAATTAACCACTAGAAAACCAAAAGTGGTGCACTGCTCAAAGTGGTAGAGCGCTATCGTTGAGCAAAAAAGCTCCAGGACAGTGCCCAGGCCGCAATTCAAGCCTCCACGCTGACAAAAAAGAAAAAAGTAAACATAAATGTCATCGATGCACAGGAGAGGAGCTTGACTATGTGCTTCCAGGAGCCGTCTGGAGCAGACATCGCCCTGAAGGCTTGAACCTGGTTGTGGTCTTGAACCACAACCTCCCCAGTTGGTGCCTCCCAGATAGCTAGGATTCCAGGCACATCTGATTTCTCTCTTAGAGAGCGGGTCTTGTTATATTGCTAGGGTGTAGTCAAACTCCAGGACTCAAGCAATCCTCAGTCCTTGAAGTAGCGCAAGTCACGCTGGCTGAGTGGTAGAACTGAGATGCAGACCCATTCCATCTCACTCCAAAAGCAAGGTGCTTGGCTACGTCCTCCCCCCCCCCCCCCCGGCTCTGAGGAAGGCACAGCGCCATGTGGGCAGGCAGGTCTGGGAACAGCCCAGTTTCCTCTCCTGCTTTGTCTTGCAGTTAGCATTTAAGGTTTTCTCCATTGGTCTATTTGCTGTCACTTGTGACTCCCTTTATACTACATGGACAGAAAACCCTGACTATTTCCATAGTTTTTAATATAGCCAGGTCCTTCTGCACATTGCTCATTATTTTCAAAATGGATTCCTGCTGGATGAGGTGTTGCACACCTGTAATCTCAGTACTCAGGAGGCAGAGACAAGGCTTTACAAGCTCCAGACCAGCCTCTGTTACACAGCAAGACCTTGTGTCAAACACCAAAATTAATTCCTGGGCTGGGGGGTGGAACCCTTGTTTAGTATGCATAAGGCCCTGGTTTGAATCTCAGCACTGCCAAAAACTTCCTTAAATTTATTTCTTCTTTGTGCCAGTCCTGGCACTTGAACTCAGGGCCGGGGTGCTGTCCTTGAGATTATTTTGCTCAAGGCTAGCCACAGAACCACTTCTGGCTTTTTTGGGAGAGGCAGGGAGCAGTTTATTGGAATGAGGGCCTCACAGACTTTCCTGCCCTGGGTTGGCTCCAAACCTCCATCCCCAGATCTCAGCCTCTTGCATAGCTAGGATTACAGGTGCAAGCCACTGGCACCCAGCAAAAATTTCCTTAATTATACATTTATAATATTATTTGAATATGTAGAATAGTGAGTACTATAAAATATACTAACTTTTACATAAATTTTGCTTCTTTCCAAAAGAAATTGCCACTTCAGTGCTGTTTTCTGTTCATCCGTCATTGCAAGAAATTGATGTGCCTAGTTTTAAAAAAATCAAATATTTTTGAAACAGACATGGATAACTAATTTTGACTAAATTGTAAAACAAACTTGCTCACTAAACACAGAATTTTACTCAGAATAATTGTAGCTCGATTCTCTTGATGGCAGACATAGCAATTTTAAGACAGAATATTCAGTTTGAAAATATTTCTAGCCCTTTTATTTTCCATTTACCGTGCAGCCCAAAGTATCCTCAGCAACACTTCCGGAGAGACTACAGGAAGGGAGGGTTCCCGTGTGGTCAGTGATATCAACCAGCATGTCAAAGCTGAGAGAAACAGGCCTTAACTGAAAAGAATCTTTGTTGCAAGTTAAGCAAGTGTTGGATGTTTCATTTACAATATAACCGCAGCTGGAACTGAAAAGAAACAAAGAAAAATGGGATGATCCCAAGTGACAACTGTGATCTCCAGTAAATATCAAAGTGAGGCATGGCTGAGATAGAAGAGTCTGAGGCCGTGCTACAGAACAAGGCCCTCTCAGAAAAAAACAAAAATCTAAGCATGTAGAATGCCGGCTCGGGGAGTGTTCCGTGTGAAGCGGAGCACGCGGCAAGCAGCCCACGGGCTCTGCGCACAGCGGCCTCACCCCAGCATCTGTGACCTCTCTGGAGAAAGGCCGTCCTTTCTCAGAGCGCCCTGCTTCCCTGGGCATGGTCGCTGCCTAGTCCCTAAGGTCCAGTGGCCTTCCTTTCTCTGTAGACCCCCTTTCCTACACCCCTGCCACGGCCCCTTCTTTCCTGGAACAGCTGCAGAGCTTAGGCTGCAGTGATGTTTATGGCCACATCTACTCTCCAGGTGGGCAGGACCATCTCCCGACTGGGAGCTGGGAGGGCGGGAACTGTGCTGACCTGGGCCCGGTAATCAGTCTCCTGTACCCATACAGAAAACCCCTGGCTGCAAAGATTCCTATCTTGGGGTTTGACCTTGGGGCCTAGGCACTGTCCTTAAGCGTTTTTTTACTCAAGCCTCGTGCTCCACTACTTGGGTCACACCTCTACATCCAGCTTTTTTTTTTTTGGTGCTTCATTGGAGATAAGAATGTCACTACAAAGTATGAGCTGAGTGCTGATGGCTCACGCCTGTAATCCTATAATCCTAGCTACTCAGCAGGCTGAGATCTGAGGATCTCGGTTCAAAGCAGGCCTGGGCAGGAAAGACCATGAGACTCCTATCTCCAATAAACCACCAGAAAACCGGAAGTGGCGCTGTAGCTCAAGTGGTAGAGCGCTCGCCTTG